ATGTCATTCTACTGTTCTCTCTGCTTTCCCTGCTGCTTTTCTCTCTGCTCCCCTCAGTGAAACCCACTGGACCCACTTGTGTATCTGCCCTCATTGTGTCAGGGCACACCTCTGCATTTTCACATACTTGAGACTCTGCCTCAAGTTTTCCCGTCTTCCTTTTTCTCTAACTTTCATTGATCCTTCAACTGTATTCATAGGTGTCTTTTCTTTTGGAAATGCAATTTGCACTTCAGACTGATGAAGATGCTTGCTCTTAACGTGGAAAAAAAGGGCCTGGAGAGACAGTCTACTGGCTAATCCTCAGATTGCATCTGCCGGGATCCCATATGGACACCAGTTTGTGTCCCAGCTGTTCCACTTCCCATCCAGCTCCCTGCTTGTGGCCTGGGAAAGCAGTGAAGGATGGCCCAGAGCCTTGAGTTCTTGTACCCACGCAGGAATCTCAGAAAAAGCTCCTGGCTCCTGACTTCAGATCAGCTCAGCTCTGGCCATTACAGCCACTTAGGGATTCATCCAGCAAATGGAAGGTCTTTCTCTCTGTATCTCCTTCTTTCTTTGTATCTGTCTTTCCAATAAAAAAATAATAATAAATCTTAATAAAGTGAGCAAAAGACATGAAGAACAACTTCTCAAATGGACAATGACAGTGAAAAGATGTTCAGGCTCATCAGTAGTGAAAGAAGCTCAGGTTAAAATAATGTTCTTCCATTATTCAGCTGTCAAATTAACAAAAATGTAAAGAGTGATATTTCAGGAAAACACAGGGAAACAGACATTCTACACCAATATCAGAGGCATAAATTTTTAATTTTTTTGTATTGTACCTTGGTATTTTAAAACTCTTTTGCATGCACATATGCAAACTGCTTTTGTCTTTGAATTGTACTACTTAATTCTACTTAATTTGAATTCTGTAAAAAAGAAACTGAATAACAGTGTGTAAAGTATCATGGATCATTTTAAAACAACAAACAAAAAAACAAAAAGAATGTTCAGCGGTAGATGATGGCAAAATTATTTTATCTGTATGATAAAATATGTTTCCATTGAAATGACCAAAATCAATTTTGACATAGAAATACATTCAAGAACTGTGGTCCAAGTTTGTCAAAAAGAAGTACATATTTTTAGTTTTCATAAGTCTGGATAGCATATCCATAAAGCATTAATAGTGTTTTTTTCTGATTAGTATTGAGTAATTAAAATGGATTTTACTTCAAATAGTGACATTTCCGAAAAGAGCGTGTGTCAATTTTGGAACCAAAATGGGGAAAAAGAAGTTTAGCCCTGGTTATTTGCTTTACTCGCCTCTGCGGTCGCCCTCTGGACACCACAGGTCCCTCTGGACACCACTGTGAATTGATTACTCAGTGTCATTCTCTGGGGGCCATCCTCCAGCAAAAACTGATGTGTGAATTAGAGCAACAACATCGTTGTAAGCATTGATTTAATCCTCAGGAGATGAATATTGTTGTTTTCTCCATTTTGAGGTTAGAACAGGCCGACAGGATTACTCACGTGGGGCTTCACAGTTGTTAAGCAGCAGGGTTGGAGTTCAAGCCCGTGCAGGCTGATTTGCACTTAGAAACAGGATAGTGTTGTGGTTCTGAGTTGGGTTGTGTGGATTAGAGTTCATATTTAGGATTCCATTTGGACAGCTGGGCATTAGTTGGATTCCACCCTGAATAAAAAGGCTGAACTTAACACTTACTAGTCTAAACTAAATACCAAGGAAGTAATCTTCACCTAATTTGGCAGTTTTTTGAAAACTTACAGTTTTAGACTGTAAATTTCTCATTGATGGTTGTTGTCACATCCTGAAGTGTGGCTTCTACTCTTCCTTCCATTTCAAACATAAATGTAATTAGTTATTTAAGTATTTCCTCCACCTGCTTTCATTCTCAGTATGACTCTTAAATTTCAGATTTATCAAGAATTATTGAAAACTACTTCCCTGTTATCTGGAACTGCATTAATATGGTAGCCACTTGATTGAAATGAGCAAAAGATTTAAACAGACACTTCTCCAAAGAAGAGTTTGTGCTAGCTGGAAAGCACATTACTATTCATTAGGAAAATGTAAGTTAAAGCCACACTGAGATATACTACATGCCTATTAGAATCAATAATCTAGGATAACGACAACACCAAATGCTGAAGAGACTGCTCAGACGCTGCAGATAGGAATGTAGACATGGTGTAGCCACTTGGTAAGCCACAGGTTTAGCTCACCATCCACCCAACAGCTTCCACCCACTTGGCATGATTTCAGATATGAAACCAGTCATGCAAAAACCAATGGACAGATACCCACTGTAGCTTTATTGTCATTGGGAAAAATGTAGAAATAGCACAAGGACCCTTTAATGAATGGAACATGGGTGAATAAGTAGTGGTATATCCATAAAATGGAATGTTCCCAATAATAAAAAGGAATGAAGTTCCATTAGTGTGGGAATGTAAGTGTCCAAAAACATTGTTAGGAGGGAGAAGCCGGTCTCAAACATTTACATACAATACAAGGGCTCAGCAAAAAATGCATATTGTCAAAAATCTAAATTGATTTTAAAATTTTGTGTACCAAAATAGACTTATCCCTTAATTCCAAAAAATTCCACCAACTTTTAAGTGCCTTTATATTACTTCACACATTTTTTTTTAACTGGCAAAATTGTAGTAACGGAGATAATTGGGGCAAGGGTATGCCTCTGAGAGGGTAATATAAGATGTTTTGAGAGGGAGGGTGAGAGGGTTGATGGGATGGTTATGTGTCCTGATTAGGGAGACAGTTAAGGAAGGGAGGGAGGGAGGAAGGAAGGAGTGGGTACATGTAAAACTGATACAATTCAAATAATGTCTGTAGTTAATAGTACTAGTGTCAGTTTCCTGGTTTTGATAATTGCACTGTGATGATGTCAGATGTTATCATTGGGGGCAACTGGGGGAAGAGTTCACAACAATTGTCTGTGCTATTTTTGTGACTTCTGTATGAATCTAAAGTAACTTCAAACTTAAGAATTAAAATATAGTTTCATAGTTGTAATAGTGATGTTTAAAGTGCTTTCTAAACCCCATGTTAGTAATAGTGACATAATGGATAGGGCAAATAAAAAGTATTCCCATTAACACAGGAAATTTTATTATACAGCCTATGTCTAACTTTGTCGCTGTACTTTGACTATTTCAAATTCCAATGGAACATGAAAACTTCCTTCTAATTTCCTCAAGTTAGGCATGTTAATCAGTTGTTTGAGTTACATTCAGAAACACTATTTTCTCAGAATTCAGAGGAAAGCCAGCTGTTTGTATCAGTTTAAAAACGTATCTGACCCATATCTTAATAAATGCCTGGATATTTTAATTTTCTGACAGTCATGTATTTTACCTCTGAGTGAGTTTTATCAGCTCTGTTGGGAAGTAGTGCCCCTCTGTTATCCTACCATGCATTCCCATCAGTTTCCTTAGTATTTGCCTTCTATTCTGTCCTTACTAAAAGTTCTTTCATATTCTTAGACCTCTTAAAAGGTTTAATACTTTACCTTTTTTGATAGTTTAAACCTAATCTTTAATAGTTAAGATGCTGAGGGAGTGGCTAGCATTGTAGTATATCAGATTAAGCTGCTGACTGGGGTGCTGACATCTCATCTGAGCACCGTTCAAATCCTGGCTGCTCTGCTCCTGAACCAGCTCATGTGCCTGGGAAGGCAGTGCAAGAGTTCAAGCCAGTTTTATCATCGTGGTCTGTGCAGTCTTCCATGATCTAAAAGTCCCAGCTTTCCAGGGCAGACATTCAGCTCAGCAGCTAAAGTGCCTGTATTCCATATTGAAGTACGTGGGTCTGAAACTTGGTTTAGGCCCCTGACTCTGTGGACGCCTGCCCTAGGAGACAGCTGTGATGATGCCAGTGACTTCTGCACCACACTTGGTAGACCTGGATTGGATTCCCAGCTCTGGTATAGCCAGCTCTCATCTGTTGTGATCGTTGGGAAATAAGCCAGCAAATGGGGTAGCTCTCACTCTCCTTTTCATCTATCTCTGTGTGTTCCTAAAGGGGATTTACCTCGTAGTGTCTCCTCGATCTGTATTCAGATATTGGTAAGATTTTCTCTAACTTCTCATTGTAAAAACACCAACTTGCCCCTTTTCCTCATCCTGCAGTTTTTCTAAAATACAGTTTTTTTTTTCATGTGTCACACGTCTCCATCTGCTAAGTTCTATGATTTCTTCCATATTGTTTTTCTCTGTGTCTGCTCTGTAAGGACACAGATTTTTTTTTTATTTCCTGCTAAATGCCCAGCCCTTAGAAAAAGAGCCTGGTACCTAAGTAGGCCCTCAGTATTTGTTGACTAAGAGAATATAGTTATAGAATATTTTTGGAAGGAAACTATAACGTGCTTTTAAAAAAACATGTTTTTAAAAAGTCTGTGAGTAAATCAGTTCTGTCCACCTGATTAAGTGGAGCAGAAACAGGGTCTGGAAGGTGACATCAAGAGTAGTAGCCAAGGAGGTTTTCTCTCAGTAAGACAAGGCAAGGCAGGGAAAATAGTTGCAAAGTGCAAAGAAGTTTCAGGATTCAGAAAACAGTATGAATATGTGTTGACAGTCTTTGAGAAGACTTGATGGAAACAAAAGGTTTGTGCAGGAGAATAGCACAGAATAGTTATAAGTGGATGCGGACAGATGCTGAGGGACTGGACAGTGAGTCGGAAGAGGTGGCGGTGCCATGACCCGTGCTGGAGACTTAGTGTGAATTCTCAGGCTGCGAGCAACACAAAGCCGTCCAAGTCTGGACTTCTCAGTGTTGCATAGGTGGCAAGGACAGTAAGATAAGAAATGTTGCCTGAGAGGTGGCTGCAGCCAAACAATTGAGGTGAATGGATTATCAGCAATCAGTAATATGTCAGAGAAATTATTGATAGCTGTATTTTGGGATACAAAGAAATAAGAAAATATCCAGTGTTAAAATCATATTTTAATTGCTTTCTTCTTTATTATAGGCTTCCTTCATTTACAAAAAAAAAAAAATGGATCATTCTGACCACTGGAGGACTCGGTTATCACAATACTTCTGTGCTACTGACTAAGATTTATGACAACAAATTAATGACGTTTCTACATTATGGGACTGTTGAAGAACTAAAAGAGGATATTTTCTCATAAGAATAGTTTTGTAGAATCCTATTACTAAATAAAATTTAAAAGCAGTTATTAAATTACTAGATTTGCTAACACAAGCACATGTGCAGCAGCTACTGTATACTAATAGTTACTGAACCTCAAATTGAGATGTTTTCCCTTTCTGGGAGAAGTCAGTATGTTTGCAAGGAACGACTGAACAGTGTCACTAAGTACCTTGTCATCTAAGTGTCAGCATTCTGAAAAGTTCCAAGTCCTGCCCTAAGTGGGTTTGATATTATGGCAGCAACTTACAGACTTGTGGTTAGCACCGTGAACCACTACAGCAGCGTGGTAATAGATCGGCGTTTTGAGCAAGCTATACATTATTGCACGGGAACGTGCCACACCTTCTCCCATGGAGTTGACTGTATCGTGGTACACCATAGTGTTTGTGCAGATCTCTTGCACATCCCTGTATCTCACTTCAAAGATGTGGATCTGAACTCCATGTTTCTGCCCTCTGAGAATGGGCTCTCCCCAGCTGAAGGTGACTACACCCATCCGACCCTCACTGGCATGCACAGGGTCAAGAGAGGATCTACATTTCAGAATACCTGTAACTTAAAGGACATTGCAGGAGAAGCGATCAGTTTTGCCAGTGGGAAAATAAAAGAATTTTCCCTTGAAAAACTGAAAAATTCTAACCACACAGCTTACAAAAAAGGAAGGAAAGTTAAGTCTGACTCATTTAATAGAAGGTCAGTTGATTTTGACCTGCTCTGTGGCCATTATAACAACGATGGGAACTCTCCCTCCTTTGGTTTACTCCGCAGTTCCTCCGTTGAGGAAAAGTCCTTGTCCCACAGAAACTCACTTGATACAAACCTAACTTCCATGCTTCTTCACAACTTCTCTGAAGAAGACCTAGTAACTCATATTTTAGAAAAGCATAAAATAGATAACTTTTCTTCTGGGACAGACATAAAGATGTGCTTGGATATCTTGCTGAAATGTTCTGAGGATTTGAAAAAATGCACAGATATCATAAAACAGTGCATTAAGAAAAAGTCAGGTGGTGACATCACTGAAGGAAATACTAATGATGTCGTTTCTAGCTCTGAAACGGTCTACGTGAATGTAATGACCAGGTTAGCGTCCTATCTGAGGAAGTTACCGTTTGAATTCATGCAGTCTGGGAGCAACGAGTCTGTAGATTTAACAGAACTGATCAGTAACATGCCTGCCTTACAACCAACTCCCTGTTCCCCAATATTTGGCACTGATCAGCCCCCTAAATATGAGGATGTTGTCCAACTCTCAGCCTCTGATTCTGGACAGTTTAAAACTAACGAACCACAGGATGACAAGCATAATTCTAGGAAAATGGATACCATAAAATCCATCTCCAACAGTTCTACACATTCTTTATATGATGTAGAGGCAAAAGCCACCCAGTTTCAATCACCAATATTACCCATGAACTCTTCAGAAAATGTAACATCTGGTGACTTACTGGAAATGCTTTACATTGAAGAAGACTCAGATGGAAAGAAAGCATTAAATAAAGGGCAAAGGACAGAGAATGGACCCAGACTGTTGAAGGTAAGTGAATGTGGAGCAGAATTTTCAGACCATTGTGCTCATCTTAAAAATTGTCCTGCCTCAACACAGAATGAAATTGGCAAGGCATTTGAAAAACCAGGTGCTCATCCAGCCAAGAAAGACCCTAAATCGAAAGCTGCTAAAGTTGAAGTAGGAGACCAGAAGGATTTTGTGAACCCTAATAGTCAAGAAGAGATAGATAAATTGTTAATGGATTTGGAGTCATTTTCACAGAAGATGGAGACCTCTTTAAGAGAGCCACTTGTCAATGGTAAAAACTTGGATTCTCTCAACAGTCGTGGTCAGATGACTGGTCATACCCCTGTTGATCTTAAGCCTAAATCTAAAGTCTCTTCATCGGCAGAAAAAGTCTCACCTTCCTGCCTAACAAAGATTATTGAAACCAACGGACACAAGATCGAGGAAGAAGATAGAGCCCTTTTACTGCGAATTCTGGAAAGCATTGAAGACTTTGCTCAAGAACTAGTTGAGTGCAAATCAAGCAGAGGAAGTCTATCACAAGAAAAGGAAATGATGCAAATTCTTCAAGAAACCTTGACAACGTCCTCTCAGGCTAACACGTCACCCGGCAGAGCTGCTGTCTGTGAAAAAGCCCAGGACGCTCCTTCAGCAGTGTTGATCCAGCAGACCCCAGAGGTAATCAAGGTAAGAACCAACAATCTCAAGCCTTGTTACGTTCCGCTAATGCTTCTCCCCACACTCAGAATGGTCTGTCCAGCCGATGCAAAGTCGGTCAGTGTTGGAAAGACCAGTTTAAACAGTCCTTTCCACACCCTCTGTTTTCTTCCTCACCCTGCGCCCAAAGGCCAAGTTCTTAACCTCAATACTCTTCTTCTATATGACAGCAATAATATAGATCAAAGTAACTTATATAATTTATGTTTACACAAAATAATCATTTAATATTAGTTTTCATCCTCCGTAGTCCATAGTAAAGACCAGTCCTTACTACATGCCCGTGTAGACCTGCGTAAGGTGTAATGTAGGGTGCAAAAGAAGGCAAGACTTTTAGAGTGCTTACAATCTGATTGGAGAACCCGAAACGGTACTCAGGCCTGTGGACATTACTTTGTGCACAGTATCATTGATGGTTAAAGATGCTGCTTGGAATACTTAGCAGAGGAGATATTAGTACTGCTTCCTATACTTTTGATCCAGCTTGCTGCTTACCCACAACATGGGTAGGAGCACAGGTGCTTGGGTCTCTGCCTCTTGAGTTCCAGGCCCCTAGGATTTAGCCTTACCGTGTCTTTCCTGTTGCCAGCTTTTAAGAAGGGAATCATCAGATGGAATTCTTTCTACTAAAGTGGAAGGTAAAATCTGAGCACCGTGGAGAAGCATGCAGAGTGTCTGATGAGCACTCTGTACCTTGTGAACACACTATACATGTCAGCGTACATGAATCAGATGTAAAGGTGTATCCACAAAGGCAAGTTGTAAAGTGTTAAGATAGTTCTAATATATATGTATATATATTTGTAAAAAAAATTAAGAGAAAGTAAATATATAACTCAGATTTGTCCTGAACAAATTGTTAAAGGTGAGGGATGGAAGAGAGGTGCATCTGAGGGAAACCGCACGGGGCCTTGACGGCATTAGTAAATGTTTTGTTGTATAACTTGGGTATTTTGTTCTTTTTCTGTAATTTTGTGTTCAGTTAAATTTGGTCTAGTTAGAACACTTGAGGAGGCCCTCAGCTAGTGTCAGAGTGCGGGGTCTCAGTCTCAGCTCTGCCCCCAGGGTACAGCCTAGGAGGCAGGGGGTAGTGCCTCGAAGAGTTGGGTCCTTGCGGTCCACATTGGAGACGCGGGTTAAGCTTCTGGCTGCTGTCTTGGCCTGGCCCAGCCCAGCCCCAGCGCTGAGGGCGTTTTGGAAGTGAACCAGGAGCAAATGGGAGATGCCTCTCCCTCTCCTCCACCCAAAAGTTTTTCAAATAAAGTGAATTTGTTTTTGTTTTTATTTAAGTGGATCATATGTTGGAGACGACTCTTATGAATCAAAACTAAAAAGAAAAATAAAGTTTCCTGTTATTTTTAGCCTTCCCAGTAAAGTTTTCATTTGAGCTTGGGGAAAAATAATGTATGATCAGATAAATTATTTTTACCTGAGCATGCTTTGTGCTTTCTGCTGTGCACGTTTTTAGTACCAGTGATGTGAAAGTTTTAAACAGAACGTACTTAAGATTGTTAGCTGGATCCTAATAGAAAAGCCTGCAGATGTTCCTTGAGCATTTCTGTGAAGTCTCTGTGTTGATCTCTTAATTTGAGTCAACACTAAAGAGAAACTGAAAAAAATTACTTCATGCATTTAAGTAATACTGATTATTTCATCTTATTTTTTAAAGGAAAGAAACAATGTAACAATCGGTATGATATTAATATCGTAAGAACTGACACTTACCACGAGCTAAGACTTTCATATTTTCTTACTCTTTTCCCACAGTAACCTGCTTACTCCTTAAAAAAAAAAAAAAGCCATTCTTCTTTAATGAGCTGGTCCAGCATTTCATAACCATTAAGCCAAAAACTCTCACTATTTGATAGAGTATTTTGAATTTTGTTCAACTTTCTTCCTGCATTATCTTCTATAACAAAAAGAGAGAGAGAGAGACATTCTAAAAAATAGATGGGTTGCAGAAAGTAGGAAATGTTAGCCTAAGGCCAAAAACACATTCCGAGCAGCACCTGCCCTTGTCCCTGCGGACAGTGTGGGGCCAGTGCTCGGTGACACCACAGTGCAGGCGCTGGACTACGCGTGAACTCCCTCACGTGCTGACAATATAGGCATTCAAATCGTGGCAAAATACTGTCTCCAATATCACAGAAAAGAATAAAATTTGATGAAATTTTTCTTGATAAGGTTGAAAAGATAATCAGTGAAAAGTTCATTTCAAAAGGCAGGTAATGTGGGGACCAGGGTCATGGTGCATCAAGTGAACCCTCCATCTGCAACTCTGGCATCCCAGACGGGCACTGGTTTGAATCCCATTTGTCCACTTCTGGTCCAGCTCTCTGCTAAGAGCCTGGGCAACGCAGCAGAAGATGGCCCAAGTGCTTGGGCCCCTGACACCCGTGTGGGAGACCCGGATGAAGCTCCTGGCTATGGTTTGGCTCAGCTAGCCACTGGCCATATGGGAAGTGAGGCAGTGATTCATTCTCTCTCTCTCTCTCTCTCTCTCTCTCTCTCTCTCTCTCTCTCTCTCGCCTCTTTCCCCTCCCTTTCCCGGTCTCCTCCTCTCTCCCTCTCCCCTTGTATCCTCCCTCTCCTCATCCTGCCTTCCCCTCTTCCTGCCATGCTCCCTCCCCCCTCCCCATCCTCTCTCTTCCTCTCCCTCCCTCTCTGTAACTCTACCTTTCAAATAAATGGTTTTTTGTTTTGTTTGTTGTTTAAGTTGGGGCTGGCACAGTGGTGTAGTAAGCTAAGCCTCCACGTGCAGCACCAGCATCTTATATGGGTGTCAATTCAAGACCCAGCTGCACCACTTCCAATCTAACTCCCTGCTTATAGCCTGAGAAAGAAGGCAGATTACCCAAGCCTGTGGGTCCCTACACCCATGTGGAAAACCAGGAAGATACTCTTGGCTGCTGGCTTCGGGCCAGACCAACCCTGGTTGTTGTAACGATGTGGAGACTAAGTCGGCAGCTGAAGGAGCTCTTTCCTCTCTCTAACTCTGCCTTTTCAATTAAAGAAATAGTTGTTTCTTTAAAAAAAAAAGTCAGATAGTATGAAATGCTTATTTCAGAAAAACGCTTGATACAAGAAGACTGAGCATCTGCTTTGACCCTCTCTCTCTCTCCATGAGATCTTTTAGGTCAGGATTGGAGAGCTTTCTCTATAAAGGGTCGTACAGGAAATGTTATAGGAATCTTGGGTTACAAGGTCTCTGTCACTTAGTCTTCATCTTAAAAAAAAAAAAAACCTTTAAAAATTTGAAACCACTCTTAGCTCCCAGATGTAGACCAAAAAAGTTCGTTTTTTCAAAAAAAAAATTACAGTGGATGAACATTTATTACTTATCTCTTAGCTTTGTCAAACCTTAATATTTTGCCATATTGCATTAGACTTGGTTTATTAAAATTTTTATTCTGAGCATTTTAATACATTTAGAACTTTAAAAAAAAAAAAGCTTTTCGTTTTATTTCGTTTCTTCTGAAAAGCATAATGAATTAAGAGGGAGAGACGGAGAAAGGGATCTTCATCCACCTGTTCATTCCCTAAATGGCTACAACAGCTGTGGCAGGCCGGAGCTGGGATGGAGCTACATTTGGATTTCCCACATGGATGGGAGCTGGATCAGAAGTGAAGCATCAGGGACATGAACCGTTGTTCTGATAGGGGACACCAGCATCACAGGCAGTGGCTGAACTTGCTGTGCCGCGATGTCTGCCGCTACATTTAGAACCTTTAAAAATTACTTGATAGGCCCGGCATGATCGCTCAGTCACTAAATCCTCACCTTCCACTGGGATCCTGTATGGGCACTGGTTCACGTCCCGGCAGCTCCACTTCCCATCCACTTCCCTGATGATGGCCTGGGAAAGCAGTAGAGGATGGCTCCAAGCTTTGGGACCCTGCACCTGCATGGGAGGCCCAGAAGAAGCTCCTGGCTTCATATCAGCTGGGCTCAGCTCCTGCTGTTGCAGCCCTTTGGGGAGTGAACTAGCAGATGGATGATCTTTCTCTAAAATCTGCCTTTCCAATAAAAACTAATCCTTTTTTAAAAAGAAAAATTATCTGCAATACAGAGACAAGCAGGGATCTCTTACCTGCACATATACTACCCAAATGCCTACAATAAATGGGGCTGGGCCAGGCCGAAATTAGAAACCCAGAATTCTGTGTTCCATTGTGGCTATTTGAGCTGTGTACATTCCAGATGGCACATTAGGAGGGGGAGAGTAGGAAGCAGAGCCTGAACTCGAACTCGGGCACTCTGCTGTGGGGTGTTGGCATTCAAAGCAGTATCCTCATCACCCCTATTGTCATCACTGTAAAAAAAATCCCTTGAGCACATCTCCTTACTAACCTTCCCTCTCTCCAAGGAGCTACTTTCTGAAGTCAGCATTTATTTTTTACTGCATGTTTTTATACAGTATTTTTTTATTTTCATTCTTAAATAGGATGACTATAGAATAATTAGACATTACAACTTTTTGTGCTGTACTAAAGAATTCTAGGGGAGTGGAAGCTAAAGGTTTTTAAGCTGAAAAATTCTATAGAGTGTTTGATTACTTTTTAAGAATAAAAACTTTTAAGGCTGTCTTATTTTTGGACAATTGAATGTTTACAAGAATTCAGAACATTTTAATTTTTTTTAAAGATTTATTTATTTTTATTGGAAAGTCAGATATGCAAAGAGGAGGAGAAACAGAGAGGAAGATCTTCCGTCCAATGGTTCACTCTCCAAGTGACCGCAATGGCCAGAGCCAAGCCAGTCCCAAGCCAGACGCTAGGAGCCTCTTCCAGGTCTCCTACACGGGTGAAGAGTCCCAAGGTTTTGGGCCACCCTTGACTGCTTTCCCAGACCACATGCATGGAGCTGGGTGGGAAGCAGGGCCACTGGGATTAGAACTAGCAACCATATGGGATCCTGGCATGTGCAAGGCAAGGACTTTAACCACTATGCTATTGCACCGGGCCCCCAG